AAGAGTCCTTTTTATGAGCATGAGGAACAAAATATTTTCCCCAAGCAAGTTAACCAGGTCCCGAAGGATCTAAGTAAAAATAAGGGGAGAAGAAAGGTATCCAGACAATGCTAAGCAGCACTCTGAAGAATAGCTCAGATAACACAGAAAAGAGAATTAGAGTGGGGTGGTAGAGGGCAGGGCACTCAGTGTTTCAAGTGAGAAAATCAGTGTGAGGTGAGTTAGAAAGAGAACTTACAGACTCAGGCATAGTGAAGTAAACTCTAGACTCTGACAAATCCATTAAGGCCTCTTTGTGTCTTAACGAGATGCTACTCTAGACTCCAGTAGGAGCCTTGTGAACAAAGAGGGAAATAAGACCCACTCGCTTGCTTGCTGTGAGAATCAGATGAGGTCATGTATGTGAAAGGGCTTTGTATCTGGGAGTGATGCGCTAGAGTGGTTAGGACAACTGGTAGTAGTGAGAGGGACTAACACTCTGTGGACGTCTTTGTGGCTGAGCTCACAGATGCCTTAGAGGGCAATGTCTGAGTGAGAATAAAAAGGAGAAATAGGTGATATCACGCCACCTGGCCAAAAGGAGGGCATGTAATGGGAATTTCTGTTATAGGCAAGATATAATGTTCTTGTAAAAATTAATAACTTGAACTTCTGCTAGACCCTTGCCACACTGACAGCAGACATTTTGACAAGTCCATTTCATATTCCAGAAGATAGAAGTGATTATGGGTTCCTGCCACTCTGGATCTAATTCTGACCAGAATGGTGAAGTGCATGCAAATCACAGCAACTTGGGAAGAGGTAGTGGAATCTCTGTGTTCAAGCCCAGGCCAAGAAAATACATAAACATAGTTTTAGAAAAGCCAGATTTGTGAGAGCAGGAAACGGTAACCATTAATTAATTGTCTTGCCCTCTGGAGGGAAAGTTCAGGACACTCTCAAAAATACCATTCTAACTGCACAATTACAGTTAAGCTGGTGAGAAACAGATGTCCCAAACATTGAGCTCTCACACAAATTGTGAGTTTTCAAAAGACATAGACAAGGGGCACCTGGGTGGCTCAGTTGGTTAAGCGACTGCCTTCGGCTCAGGTCATGATCCCAGGGTCCTGGGATCGAGCCCCACATCGGGC